CACTTATTCAACAGCAAGTACCTACCATCATCGAGGTCCTAGCCATTAAGCTAGATTCCTATAATATCAAAGTTCAAAGAGAGCAGGTTGGACCCTAGTCTAACACTCCCATTTTACAGATGGGGAAACTGAGGCTCAGAGAGGTTAATATTAATATAGTCTCCAGTTGGCCTGCAGACTATAACCTGGCCCTCCCAACTCTTCCTCCTATCACAGCCCCCTCTCCAGTGCTCCTCTGTGGCTGGAGCTATTGCCTCTGAAGGGTTTCTTCATTCAGGCCCCACAGGCAATGCTCAACCTGGGCCCCCAGCGGGGGATGAACCCCAAGAAGCTAGGGATCCTCACACAGCACTGTGGAAGTAGAGGGCCATTCTGTGGCCAAGACTCACAGACTCTATACACACAGCCCAAAGCACATCAGGAAAAGAGAGTGGGGGTGGGTGCGCAGAACTCCTTGGTTCCAGCCTGCACTGAACTAGCCACGAAGTACAGGCCAGGATTCAAATGCCTACTGCGTGACTCACTGTTGACCGCAACCAAGTTTCCTAACCTTGCTGAGCTTCCATTTTTCAGCTGTAAAATGAAGAGAGTAACAGCTGCTTCATGAGGTCGTTGTGAAACCTTAGCATGTAAGGTTGTCAGTGGGGCAGTAGGTGCTGGTCTTCCTTTTAATGCCAAGGGTAGTCGGGGTGGCTAGATAAAATCTCTTAGGTGTCTGCCCAGCCCATAACCCATCTCTCTTCTCTGAGAACTAAAACTTGCCACATAGAGATGTGGCCACAGCAGCCACAGCCTAAAACCCCATCTCCCCAGCTGAGCTGTCTGGACCAGGGGTATACAAGTGATCCCACCCAAGGCAATCAGACTTTCTCTCTCTTTTTTAACAGCTTTATTAAAATGTAATTTACATACCACTAATTCACCATTTTACTGTGTACAATTCTACTCCCCAAATGATATAGGTATGTAAACTAGTGACAAACCAATAAAACTTGAAAAACAGAAAATAATTTTTAAGCAGTGCACACTTCAATGGTTTTTGGCATAGTCACACAGTTGTGTGACCATTACCACCAAGTAGTTTCAGGACATTTTCATCACCCCCAAAAAGAAGCCTGCATCCTCTGTATCCTTAGCATTCACTCTCCTTATTCCCTCCACAACCTCCCCAGTGCTAGGAAACTATGAATCTATTTTCTGTGTCGATGGATTTCTTACTCTAGACATTTCATAAAAATGGGATCACACAAGGACCTCCCTAGTGGCGCAAGGAGTTAAGTCTCAGCACTATGAAGCTATCTGCAGCACGAATTCTATCCCCTATGCCAACCAGGGAGGTGACCCACATGACACAGCAGACCTCTCCTGTCTCTCCCGCTGTTCCCCTCAGCAGTGTATTTCAGTAGATCCACTTGTTCTGCTCCCCACTCTGTCTCTGGTGAATCCTCTCACACCCCATACCTCTGGCCTACACCCAAGCTCTTATATGCATAAAGAAATAAAATAAATATTTTTTTAAAATGGGATCACACAAGATGTGGTTTTCTGGGAATGACTCTCACATAGTATGTTTTCAAAGTCCACCTATGTTGTAAAATGTATCAATACTTAATTCCTTTTTAAGGCCAAATAATACCATTGTAAGGATACGCCACCTCTTACTTATCCATTCATTCATATGCTGATGGACATTTGGGTTGCTTCTACTTTGGGCAATTATGAATAAAGATGCCCCGAGCATTTGGATATAAGTTTCTGTAAGAATGCATGTTTTCACTTCTCTTGGATATATACTTAAGAATGGAATTGCTGCTCAATGTTTCACCTTTTGAGAAACTGCCGGATTATTTTCCAAAGCAAATGCACCATTTTACATTCCCAGTAGTAGTAGGCATTTGAATCCCAGTATGAGGGTTCCAATTTCTCCACATCCTCACCAACACTGCCTTTTTTATTATAGTCAATCCAGTGGGTGGGAAGTAGGATCTTATATTATGGTTCTGATGTGCATTTTCCTGAAGGATAATTATGTTGAACATCTTTTCATGTGCTTATTGTTCATTTGTATAACTTCTTTGGAGAAATGTCTATTCAGATAACTTTGCCCGCTTTTAATTGTGTTGACTTTGTACTATGGAGTAGTAAGCGTTCTTTCTGTATTTCTGAACTGAGTCCTTCATCGGATACGTGATTTGCAAATAGTTTCCCCCCATTCTGTGAGTCATCTTTTCACTTTCTTGATATGCTCCTGTGGAGCATGAAAGTTTTTCATTTTGAAAGATCAAGTGCTGCCTTTTGGGACAAAATAGATGGATCCTGAGGTGATGATGCTAAGTGAAATAAGTGAGAAAGTGAAAGTTTACCGAACGGTTTCACTCATTTGCAAAATATAAATAGCCAAAGAAAACAAACTGGCAAAACACAACAAAAATAATTCATAGACTCTGAAAACTATACTAGCTACCAGATGGGGGGAGGGGACAGGAAAGAGAAGGTGATGGCACCCCGGAGCTCTAGGGGAGGACGAGTGGAGCACGTGCTCTTAGGGAGGTGTGAGGCTGTACTCCCAAAATTATATAATTATGCAAACAATTGGCAAATTCATAAAATTTGAGGAAAATAAAAGCAAAATGATAATTAAAATGTTTTTAATTTTGATAAAGTTCAATTCATCAATTTGTTACTGTTAATTGCTTTTGGTTTTGGTATCACATCTAAGGAACCGTTGTCTTATCCAAAGTCACCAAGATTTACCCCAACGTTTTCTCCTAAAAGTTTTATCATTTTAACAATTACGTTTAGGTCTTTGATCTATTTTCAGTTCATTTTTGCATGTGGTATGAGAGAAGAGTTCAATTTCAGCCTTTTGCATGTGGACCTCAGTTGTCTCAGACCGTTTGTTGAGAGACTATTTTTCTCCCTGAATTATTATGACACGCTGGTTGAAAATCAATTAACTGCACATGTGAGGGTTTATTTCTGGGCTCTGAATTCTCTTCCACTGGCCTACATGCTGGCCCTTCAGCCAAGACCACATTGTCATGACTATTGGAGTTTTGTAGTAACTATAGTGTTGTTCTTCTTTTTGAAAATTAGCCTGGTATTTACATATGAAATTTAGGATCCAAATTTAGGATCAACTTCTGCAAGGAAGCCAGCTGGATTTTGATGAGGATGAATGTCTAGGTCCTGTTCAACACCTCCAGAGCTGTACCTCCACCTCCTCCCCTGGGTTCCCTGAGGCACCCTGCGATTTTTTTCCATAAACTCCATCTTTTTCTTAACCAGATTTCAGTAGGTTTTTGTTTCTTGCAATCAAAGGAATCTTAACCAAGGACAAGTAGGAACACAGTCCCTACCAGTGTCCCAAATAACCAGCTCAATTCCACCTCTCCAGTGCTTAAGCCCTCAGCCTGCCCCCCAGATACCCCACTGTGGTCCCAATCTCAATACCGGCCCATGCCCCGACCCTTCACTCCCCCTTGTAACTAGTTTCCTTGCAGGATGCCTGTATCAGCTTTATCAGTTAAAACAATCAGGCCCTCAATAAATACCTGTGACATTGAACTAGATGTCCTGAGACAGCATCAAAAGAAACACTCTACCATTCCATAGTCCTTAGTAACTCTGCTCCCTACCTAGCATCTCATTCAATACGCTGAGAAGCTCTGGGAGGAGCAGATAATATTGTGCTCCTGGTCAAAAATTACAGAAAATATAGTGCAGAGGCATTAAATGTCTTGCCCAAGAATGGTGTGCCCTGAACGCTGGGCTACCCTGAAGTACACCTCATGCCGACCCAGCACAGATACAGGTGGGTCCATTGTCCCACCCATCTTTTAGAGCTATTTTAGAAGCTACCTCCGCTGCCTTCCATTCCATCTCTGGCATCAACTCTTCAGAGAGAGTGAAAGCTCTGGAGCAGGGACAGTTTGCCATTCATCCCTGCCCTGCAAACTGCCCACCCTCACCATGCCGAGCAAAACAAACCAGAGTGGGAAATCTCATTCAGTATTGGCATCTGAATGGCATAGCTGAGAGAGGTCAGCTTGGAAAACTTATCAGTTGAGAGGGGGGAGTTACAAGCAGGAGGCACTACCTCTGAAGGACTCATTAGAGAAATTTGTCACACACGAGTTCATTCACATGTAGCAGGAAAATATTTTGAGCTGGTGACCCAAACTATTTTTACCTCCTAGAATTTCCCTCCTTTTCAATTAGTCGCTTGGAGCAGATGGCTTGTCAGTGCTCATTGCCCAAGGGCGGAACGCAGATAGAACTTGACTTTTGTTATATCTCAAGGGGGAAAGGAGATCAGGATGTGGACAAAATGACTTGGCCAGAAACATGGAAGGAAAAGAAACAAAAGTGGTGAGGGGAGAGTGGTATGGGATTCTACATGCTTGCTTAGGGCTTCCCCAGACAGGTGTGTGACATGTAGTAAATGGAGGCAGACAATCTCTAGACCCTAAATCTGCTTTGGAAGCATCAGAAAGTCCCAGGGCCAGACCAATCAGGATGACATATGTCTAGTAACAGATGACTCAGTGACCAAATTACACACACACACACACACACACACACAGAAGGCTGTGTTATGAGGTCCCAGAATTACGTGGCGCAATTGCTCACGTGAGTGGGAATATCAAAGAGACAACCTAATAGAATTGGGTTTTCACATAATAATTAAGGTGACAGAAAATAAAATTCTCTTTCTTATACCCCTAAGTTCTGAACCAAAAGCCATAGCACTATACACGCTTCCCCCACTCTGTGGTCTGCTACTTTCAACCCAACCTTTGCCCTTCCCCCAAATACTACACAATACCCCAGGAATCAAGAGCCTTGTCCAACCTCCTCTAATCAAGAAGCCCCTGAATGATGAGAGTCTCTGATACAAACACAGCAGCCCCACTGAACAACTTGAGGGTAAACAGCCCCATGAGAGTTCCAATCTGCCATCATCTCTAACCTCTACAAAACAGGAAGTGGCTACTTACTTGACCTTCAGGCTCGCCAGCATGGTCTTGTCGATCCTGCGAAAAGAAAAGCGAGGATTTTGGTCAGTGCCAGGAGGAAGGCTCCTGCTCTCATCTGCAGAGGTGGAGTTACTAGCCAGTTCAGACCACCAGACCAGGAGGGCCCTGCAGGGGACAGCTGCCTACTGGAAGAAGTTCACCAGCCCCGGAAGGAAGAATTGTGAGTTCTGGGAGGGCTAAAGTCACACATAAGACTGTGAAATAGGAAATGTCATTGTCCTGTTTTAGAGATGAGAACAATGAGGTTCAGATGGATAAAATCACTGGCTAGTCTGAATCCAGGTAATCTGACTCCAAACCCAGGGATCTTAGGCACCTTGTATGTAGCCTCTCCCTTCAACACCCACATTCTACAAAAGGACTCTGCAATCCAGCTTCATAGGCAGCTAGACAATCAGCACATCAATATTTACTGAGCTTCTGCTTTGGAAAAATGCCAGCACCCCCAGCAACAGGGACCCTCCTGTTCTGGGAGCTGCCATTTCATCCAAAGAGGCAGACCACCAGGGGTTCCCTGGTGGCGCAAGGGGTTAAGTCTCAGCACTACAAAGCTATCCGCAGCCACTGCAGCACGAGTTCCATCCCCGGCCAGGGAGCTACCCACATGGTGCAGCAGATCTCTCCCTTCTTGCCCGCTGCTCCCCTAAGCAGTGTATTTCAGTCAATCTGCCTGTTCTGTTCCCCGCTCTGTCTCTGGTGAATCCTCTCACCCTCTGCACCCTTGGCCTGCACCCCAGCTCTTGTATGCATAAATAAATCTTTAAAAAAAAGACGCAGACCCCACTTCTAGAACAGAACCTGGCAGTAGGATCCAGGAACACCAGCAGGTGGGATCTGTCAGGCACATAAGCTCAGAGCAGGGAAGATCACGTTCGCGACAGACTGTCCCAGCAGCCAGCTCCTCCACCCCAGCCTGCACCACCCTCCACCCTCGTGGGAAGATGAGGCAACGCTGCTAAGCTTCTATTTTTAGCCCCTGCATATGCCAGCCCTTATGGCTGCAAAGCGGCCCCTTCCTCTCTCCAGAGATGCAAAGGTAGGTGTGAAACCTACTCCACCCTCTCTTGTTTAGGGTCACAACCTAAACAAGAGGGTCACCATCAGTGTACCATCATCATCACTTTTACCACCATCCTCTTGTCATCATCACCATCAGTGCCACCAAAATCACCACTCCTTCCAAGATGCTTGAAACGCTGGCAAGTCCCTTCAGCCACTCCTGTCCAGCCAGCTCAGCTCTGCCACTGCTTTCACACACACAACCACTGGGCCAGCAAGGAGAGCAAAGTTGTATCCAGAGCCACATGGCAAGGACAAAGACTACCCCAGGAATCACAAGTCAGCCCCAAGCCCTTGAGTTAGGAGGTAGGATCTTTCACTCTGAGTAAGCTCCCAGCACATTCTGATCTCAGTTCCCAACAGCAAAGCAAGCCACACCCCAGGGTTCTTAAAGGAGGTCCCTCCCAGCTTCCTCCCCACATACCTGCTGGCCCCTTCCTTGGGTTTCATTACTAGTCCCCAAAGATCTTGTTGGGCTCTACTCCCCTCTGGGATGAACCCCTCCTCCTCTCCCATTCAATCCACCAGAAAGGGTAGGGGACCCCACACTCAGGTCCCTTTTTTCTGCTATAATACTTGTAACAAAGCAAACCTCGAGTAACCCCTAACAATAAGCGCTTATATTTTATACTTTCTCAAGCAATTGCTTTAAATCTTTCAACACCCCTGCACTGTAAGTAAGGCAAAAAGCCCACCTACATGGGGAGAAACTGAGACCCGGGAAGGGAAGTGTCCTATCCGAGTTCCTCAATGAGCGAAGGTGGAGACAGCACCGGAACCCAGACTCCTGGTGTGGCCCAACCACCATGATAGAACACAGGTTCCCCCATGCAGAACCCTGTGTCTACACCTACCCAGGCGTCTGTCCATAGGAACCCGAGCTGGGGTGTGACCCTGGGAGGGTGGGGCCTCAGCAGAGCTGAAACTAAAGATCAGCAGCTGTGACAATGGGCTTTTCCCTTTAAGGAAGCCAAAGTCCCAGTCTCTCCCTGGCACCTTCTCTCTTGTCCCTCCTCTGCCCATTTCATCCACCCTCATCACCTGCCTAACCCTGATGTTAGTGGCTATCCACCCTCACCTCCAATGGAGCTTTCAAAAATGCCACTTCCAAGATTTCATTCACTGTCTGGAGTGGACCAGGGCTCCAGGCATATGTAATTCCCCCCACCCCACCCCCAGCCACTGTGACAGCCCCTCCCAATTGACAGCCATCCCCAGATGACACCCAAACTCCACTCCAGCACTCTCTGTTGCCACCCTAGCCCTCCAACCCCACCAGGATGCTCTTTTATCCCCTCAAACTCAATGGACCCCCAACCAAATGTCTACTGGGGGGGCAAAGCCCCTCACTTAGCCATTCCACAAGGAGCTAGTGAGCATGTGGGATGTGCCCCCATCACCCCCACACCACTCAGAGGAGGTGGATCTTGGGGGCCCCATTCATCGCCTGAGCCCTGCCCCATAGAACTCCAGCCTTGAACTGCATCCTGACCAGGAAGCAGATGTGATTCAAACCCAGATCCTACCCTCGGGACAGCAGCCCCTTGGCCCAGGCATCAGGGAAAGCTCATGGAGCATGCCACCCTGTGCCCCCCTGGCATTGTCCCTTCCTCACCGTCCCCATCCGCTCAACAAGGAGCACCCATGATCCCTTCCTGCCAGAGGACGAATGGACAAGGGCCAAGTGCTTTCAAGAAGAGGGAAGGGGAAATAAAAAGCACACATATGGCAGTGGCTAAGGAGCAGAGCCCGTCTCTGGGCAGCCCTCTGTGCCTCCCTGCCTCCTGCGCCCCTCATTACCCACCAGCTTCCACCCAGGACACCCCCAGCCCTCTACCCCTGCAGGAACCTTTCTTTGACAATACCGCAGGCCCAGAAGCTGAAAGGAAACCGATAATGAAAACCACTAGAGCCTGTTGCCCAGCTGAGGAGAAGCTGCCAACAGCTGGTAACCAGAGACAAGGCTTTGACTCCAGCGCCCCACTATCTGTCCCCCGGGAGAGTCTCTCCTTTGTCCCAGACAGAAGCTTACTGCCAAAAGGTGGCCCAGAGAGCCAGGCAAGATGCTGGCACATAGGCCAGTGCTCGCGCTTAGATGGAGCTAGGTCTGGCTGCCCAGGGTCGAGGGGAGAGGGGAGAGATCTCTGGGGACAGGCCATCCCCCTCCTCACACTCAAGCCCACTGACAGGAGGTAGCCCAAAGGTCCAGTGGGCCACAGGTGCCGCCTGCCCTGAAGTCACAAAGATGACAGACAGAAGCATAACACTTGCACATACACGAGCACACGCAGGTACAGGTGACCAGCGGTGCAGACCATCACCTGCTCAGAAACACAGGGTGCACCCATGGTCACACGCACAGGCACACCCACCGAGCCTGGCACACATCACACATACAGGCAACTGTGGCACACACGCACACACATCACAGACACGCATTCCCACAGGGGGCACAGAGACACACATTCAAGCCCAGTCATGCCGCCACACTCACACTGGCTCCAGCTCCGACCTTCTGGATCCCCCAGAAGACTGTACCCAAGGGACAGTGAGGAAAAGCTTTGTATTTGAAGTCTCACCAGACCCTCCATTCCATCTGGCCCAGGCATCTGAAAGTGCCCCTTACAGACCCAGGTCTCAGGCACAATCTGAGCCCTCTGTTCCCACAGACAGCCACAGCCACACACAAGACCTCACAGTTGGTTCAGTCCCATCCCTTCGACCGCCCTGCCATCTGTCACCCACCATCCGAAGCCCCCAAAGGAGACACTGCGCTTCCTGCCAAACATGGCTGTGGCCTCAGGACCCTGGGGGGCCAGCGATGTCCCCAGGGCTGTTGAAGAGACAGCCCTAGTTGTGCAGCGGGCTCAGACGGCCCAGGCAAAGGGCGGGACGCCCAGCCGCAGCACCTCCCCGTGGCCCTCCCCAAAACCCGCACTTCCTGTGGGTGAGGCCCAGTGCTGGGAGGTGTGTCCTGCCCTCAGGGAGGCAACAAGACAAGCAGAGGAGGTTGCAGAGGGCAGCTTCCCCACACCCAGAGGAACCCGCAGCTCCGGAAGGGGCTCCGCTGGCAGATTGCACCACAGTCAGAGTGGGCAGCTTTAGCCCCACACAGCCCATTTCCCAGAACAGAACCCGGGGAGGCCCAAGGATTCCCACAGCTGTGCCTGAAGGGGACAGACTTGCTGGAAGGCTCAGGGAGTCCTGCAGGCTGGGACCCCACACACCCATTCTTTAGGGCTGCCCAAGGGAAAGCCTTTGCCTTCCTGCTCCACTATGGTTCAACACAAAGCAGATAAACCCACCCACACATGTAATGACACCTGCACTTGTGTGGGCCAGAGCATAAATGCATGCGCCCGCATGGAACATTCATGTGTGTGGATATGTGTGCACATGGGCACATGCGTGCACACACATGCACACAGGCACTACACATTCATATGTAAGTTCATATAGACACTAGCAGACATCTGCACAGCTCACACGCCCACAACTTCCCATACAAACACAGCGCGTGCATGGATGCAGACAGACCTGCTCATATGCACGTAAGTGGGCACATACCCAGGTACACACTCGGTAAGTGTGGGGTCCTTTCCTCCAAGGCAGCTGGCCTCTCAGCAGGTACCTGGGGGTCCCTGGTCAGGCCACTCCCTCTTCACCAGCAGAGGAAAGATCGTGTGGTTCACTCTGGGGCTGTGTCAGACCACTGGCTTCCCACTGAACACACCCAGACCTCTCACCCCCAGACCTCTTCACATCCAACCTCTCACCCCCACTGCACCCACCCCACACCCAGGAGATGCTCAACAGGTGGACACCTTGGTTCTTGCTTGTCCTGTGCCCATCTGCTCTCCCTCTGAGAGAAAAAGAGCTCTGCACTCAGTGGGCTGTGAGGAGAGCACCTGACCAGGCCACAGTGACCAGTGCACGAG